GCCGCACACGTCTTTGTCCACTCGGCAAAAATTCATGGATATTGATTGGGAATTGATGTTACACCCACCATATAGCCCTGATCTCGCGCCATCGGATTACCACTTATTTCGATCCCTGGACAACTCCCTTCGTGGTAAAACTTTTAACGATGATGACGCTGTAAAATCTCACTTAACTCAGTCTTTGGCCGAAAAGGATCAGACTTTCTACGAGCGTGGAATTTTCAAGTTGTCAGAGAGACGGCAAAAGGTCATCGAACAAAATGGAAAATACATTACAGATTAAACTTCATTCCAAGTAAAAAAATTTTTCATTTCATTGAACAAATCGGCAATTACTTAGTTGCCAATCCAATATTTTGCAATTCTGCAAAGTTCCGGGACTCTTTCGTGGAAAACGCTTGAATAAGTTGTATTATTGGAGCAAGTTTTATAATAAAAACTTTACAAATTCTAAATAAATTCGGTCTTCTCACTTTTGTGAAGCAGTACATGCCAGTTAGTATTATTGCTTGGTTGGTTTAGTGTTAAACCGCTTGCAGTAGAGCAATGTGTTGAGCTCGTTATAAAGATTTCGAACATAATCTACTACGTCTAATAAATAATAGTATGCACTTTTCTTTAAATTGGGATCAAATTCTACACTTCTATTATCAATGTCTAAGCATTGAAACAAAAGCTGGCATGCAATCGATATCTTAACCATCTAGGAGTGTATTAGTAACGAAGAAGTGTTAATCGATATAACTGTCAATGGAATCATGGTAAAATAGATTAATCGATTGTCGTTCTAATTCCGAAATATGCTGCTGAAAAAAATGATAGCATAGACAAATTTTGGATAGAAATTGGCCAACTTTGACTGACGATAACTCCGCGAAAAATCATCGTAGGATGATTATTGTCTATTTCATTGTCTACTTTAAGAGTTACGATTATTGTCTGCTTTAAGACGATGCTTCTGGATTTTAATATGTTCAGTGCCGCGTGAGTCACGTATGGGTGACATCAATTTTTAACTAGGTTCTTGAAATTCATTCTTATTGTAATATATCGAACAAAAATTGAATATTATTAGGATTTGTAGAATACAAAATAGTTGAACCAATATTTCCCATGGTAAATTTTCACTTTCCAGTTTCAGTTTCATTAATTAAATGACTTTGATATCGCGTGAATTTTTCGAATTAATATTCGGCACGTGTCAAGTTTGTCTTCGGTAAAATTTGTCTCGGAGATGCCGTTTGCAGTCGAACTAATCGCCGGTTAAAGTTCGCCAATTTCTATCCAATCTCTATTCAT